CCGCCCCCCCCCCCCGCCGCAGTGCCGGCGAGGACCCTGGGGAGGGTCTCCAGTGGGGTAAATCTGTGCAGCTCCGCTGGCTTCAGCCCTGCTTCGGGATGGCCGAGGATCACACCCCGCTTTAAAAGCGCCCCTTGCTCTAACGTCCCTGGCGTTACCCAGGAACGCGCTGTAGGTACTTCCGAAGCGCCTTATTCCCGCCGCCAGCCTGCGCCCGTTTGCCGCAGCGTTGCTCTTTGTGCCGCAAAACCAGGCTGGGCTGTTTTCCTTCCGTCCCCGGGGCTGATCTCAGTCCCCGTTTCACATCCCTGCGCTGCTGGGGTGCTCAGGCACACTTCCAGACGGCCCCTTGTTTAAAACCGTCCTCTTGCTATTTTTCCCCCCCCTGGATTTTAGGCGTGGAGTCAGCAATGTGGTCGGCTTTCCAGGACGATAGGATTTTCATTACCTTAGTGCCTGGAGCTCTGACGCCGCATCTCTTTGTGCCGGTTCTTTCGGCCATGGTCAAAGTACCCCCAGCCCGTGGCAAACGACTCCCCCCTGCCTGCTCCTGCCAGATGTGCCACAGCTGCAGCAGATCCAGCCAGGCCCAGCGCGGGATTGATGCCCACCTACCCCCTGAGCGCAAGAAGGGTGTCACCTCGGGCCCAAGTGACAGCCAACTCAGTCTTCATCCTTGGGGATTTTATTCCCTTAGCCCCACAGCCCTCACTGCAGCCAGCGCTGGGGCAGGGAGGGTTCTCCTGGCCACCAGACAGCCTACAAGCACGGTCCCCAGGTCCTGCTCTCCCCATGGGTCCTCCTGCCCTTGTTGGGGACGGCTGATTTTGGACAAGAAGCCGCCTCTTTCCCGGTACCCGGCTCCCACCAGCGACCTCGGAGCAGGCTACAGATTGGAGCGGCAGAACGGTGCTTCTGGAACAACCGAGTCTCCGATGCCTTCGAGGAGATCGTCCCATTGATCGAACTCCTTTTCCAGGTCTGCATGGGGCAGAGATGGTGACGGGGTTACTACAGCGATTATCAGCCCGGCTCCAGGCGTAAAAGAGGAGCTTTGTGCAACGGGACGGGGAGCACCAAACCCAAGCCCAGGGAGGCAGCGGCCGCCCCGCAGCCCCCTGCAAGCGGAGGAGCTCTCGTGCCCTCCCGAACCCCCGGCCAGCGTGCCCTCCACCCCGCGCCGTACTGAGATGCCTTTGCAGGAAGGCCAGAGCTGCCCGGCTGGTGATATCCAGACACTTGTAAGGGTCGAGGGTCCCCCTTGCACCGAAGATGCGGCTGAGGAGCTTCCCGGTGAGAAAGGTGAAGTCGGTCTGGCTCTGGTGGACGGATCCCCTGAGACAGGGAAGGGATCTGCTTAGGTGGGAGCTGGGGAGAGGTCCTCCTGCTGGGACACAGCCTGTAGGTGCTCCCCTGAGGGTACCGGCGGGTGGGTGCCACCAGCCCTTGACTCACAGGATGGTTATAATCTTTGTCTGGCTGTTTCTGGAGCTCAGCCTCTTCATTTTGGCAATGCTTGCTGGCGTCTGGAACTTCTCGGTGTTGATGAAGAGCACGGGCTTGGGCACCTCCGGGTACAGCGCGTTCTCCAGGGGGAACATCCAGGCGTCGAGAGCCACCGCGCACCTGGGGCAGGACAGATACCCGGTGCTGCTGCCCAGGCCACAGCTTCCCTTCCCACCGGGATGAGCCATGTGTCCCCGGAGCTTCCCACGGCTCCTCGTCGTTGCTGCGGCTTACCTGAAGCCTGGCTCTTTCACCAAGGCCAGCACTGCTGTCACCCGACAGCCTACAAGCACGGTCCCCAGGTCCTGCTCTCCCCATGGGTCCTCCTGCCCTTGTTGGGGACGGCTGATTTTGGACAAGAAGCCGCCTCTTTCCCGGTACCCGGCTCCCACCAGCGACCTTGGAGCAGGCTACAGATTGGAGCGGCAGAACGGTGCTTCTGGAACAACCGAGTCTCCGATGCCTTCGAGGAGATCGTCCCATTGATCGAACTCCTTTTCCAGGTCTGCATGGGGCAGAGATGGTGACGGGGTTACTACAGCGATTATCAGCCCGGCTCCAGGCGTAAAAGAGGAGCTTTGTGCAACGGGACGGGGAGCACCAAACCCAAGCCCAGGGAGGCAGCGGCCGCCCCGCAGCCCCCTGCAAGCGGAGGAGCTCTCGTGCCCTCCCGAACCCCCGGCCAGCGTGCCCTCCACCCCGCGCCGTACTGAGATGCCTTTGCAGGAAGGCCAGAGCTGCCCGGCTGGTGATATCCAGACACTTGTAAGGGTCGAGGGTCCCCCTTGCACCGAAGATGCGGCTGAGGAGCTTCCCGGTGAGAAAGGTGAAGTCGGTCTGGCTCTGGTGGACGGATCCCCTGAGACAGGGAAGGGATCTGCTTAGTGGGGAGCTGGGGAGAGGTCCTCCTGCTGGGACACAGCCTGTAGGTGCTCCCCTGAGGGTACCGGCGGGTGGGTGCCACCAGCCCTTGACTCACAGGATGGTTATAATCTTTGTCTGGCTGTTTCTGGAGCTCAGCCTCTTCATTTTGGCAATGCTTGCTGGCGTCTGGAACTTCTCGGTGTTGATGAAGAGCACGGGCTTGGGCACCTCCGGGTACAGCGCGTTCTCCAGGGGGAACATCCAGGCGTCGAGAGCCACCGCGCACCTGGGGCAGGACAGATACCCGGTGCTGCTGCCCAGGCCACAGCTTCCCTTCCCACCGGGATGAGCCATGTGTCCCCGGAGCTTCCCACGGCTCCTCGTCGTTGCTGCGGCTTACCTGAAGCCTGGCTCTTTCACCAAGGCCAGCACTGCTGTCACCCCGCCGAAAGAATGGCCCATGACGGCGACTTTGGTCAGATCAATGCTGCCCTGCAAAAAGGAGAAGGCTGAGGAGCCTGTGCCCAAACCTCACTGCAGAAAGTCCCACATTAGGGAAGGGAAAGCCAAGGGAAGATCAGCAAAGCCCTCTGCAAGGGACACCGTGTCCCATTTTCACCATCAGTGCAATGGGACCCGGCTTCCCTGGCACGCACGGGGAAAGGAGAAGAGAGAAAAAGGAGAAGAGAGGCACCAAGAAGCTGAGACGTGGAACGCTGTAGCCCTGCAGACCCTGCTTGTCCCAGGAGGAAAAGTCTCATGCAACAAGGACTGATCCTGCCAGCAAAGGGCACCCGGATCCCCCCATCAGCCAAACGATGCCCCCGGCTGGTCCTTCAGCACAGACCGACCCAGATACCTTCAGCACGGAGAGATCAAAGTCCTGATGAAGGATGTTTGGGACAGATTTACCACTGTTGATGTTCTCGAAGAGCTGGAGAGCTCGCACGCATTCCTCTGCTCTCTGATGAACCTGGGAGGGAGAATTGCCCCTTCCCCAGTTAACCCAGCTCCTCCACCCCACAAGTCTGGGGCCAGATCCTCCCCCCAGCATCCACCCACCGCAGCGCTCAGACCCGACGGGGATTTCCTTCAATTACGGCAAACGTAAAAGCAAGTGAGAGGCTGCACCGCAGTGTCTCCCGCGGGGCCGCAGTGAATTTATTGGAATGGTTTCTTGTTTGGTGTGGTTTTAATTCAGTTAATCTGATAGCGCAGACGGCTGGAGATGAGCAAAAGATCTCTGCTCCGGGGAGGAAGGAGCGGGGCGTGCAGGGGAGGCAGAGCCCCGTTTCCTCGCCGGCTGCCCCCCGGCCAAACCTGCCGAAGCCATCCACCGGTGCGAGCACCCGCGGGGAGCCCAGACCCCCCGTGTCCCCCCCCAGCTGCCAGGAGCAAACCTGGACGTCCCCCCAAAACCTAGCTCGGGGGCTCCATCCAGGAGCGGCTCAAAAGCTCAAACTGCCCATTCGGGGGGAGGAAGCCCCAACCTGGAGCCACTTTGGGACTACGTCATCTGCTCCCCTAAGGACGCAAACGCTGTTGACTGTTTAAAGACCTTCCCCCGAAGTGACAAAAAACTCAGATGAAAACCCCTCTCCGCTCCTCCCCGCTCCCTCTAACACAGAAGATGCCATTACTGAGGCTGACCTGGCAACCATTTCCTTTTATTTATAATATATTTCTCATTCACCCTCAACATTTACGCTCATGGGTTCATCTTCATAGGAAAACCGTTTCCCTTTTTTGGGCAACGTGCCGTGTGACAGAGCATACACAAAAATAAGAGGCCAGGAGGTGATTTAAGACTGCCAAAAGCACCTCCGACCACTATATTTCCTAGAGAGCTTTTCTACGACAAATCTCGACTCTCTGTTGTCCTTTTAAACGAGGCAGAAACGAGCGGGGGGGGGGAGAGAACTGGGCTCAGCA